TCCAGAAAGGATAGTTCAGTGGACCCAGTGCTTAGATTACTATAATTCTATCTGACCTGCTGTCTCATGGTAATGTGTCACTGACTTCCAGTCCCAGGCCATCTAAATTCAAGGCATAAATCACCTGCTGCCAGCATGCTGCTTCCCTACACAAGAACCCATGATGGATCTCTATTGCTTTTTGAATCCAAACTAGTCTAGTTTTCAAGAGGCTTCATATTCTTTTCCTGTTTTCATATCCAACTGTATCTCTATCCTCTGTTTTGCCAATGCAGTTGTCTTTATACTGCCCCTGAACCTCTTACCCCTTAAGAAATTCCAGATCCAAAAAAAGAAACAACCCCCTCTCACCCCTGAAAAAACAAAACATATCAGGCTTATTGTTATGTTCTGGTCTAGAATCTCCTTCAGAGATTGCTTCTCTATCCCAATGCTACTCATCTTTGAGTCAAATTTCAAATCCCACTTCCTGGAAAATCTGAATCCACAGTGACATCTTTCTTTTTTTTCTTTTTTTTTTTTTTAGTTTCAGAAACAGTTTATTGATAAGCATTCAATAGTAAGATTAAAGTAGGATATTAAAATAATTTTTGGATAAATGTCTTAAAATTACAATATGCAAAATCTCAAAATATTTAGAATTTAAGAATGAGGTACAAACATTGAGATTTACAGATTGATTCTCCTTCCTCATATATTTATTTTGTACTAGCTCAGTCTAAGCAGAGGATGTAAGGTTGAACAAGGCTAAGTCTTTCCCATCTTGAAGCTCACAGCGCTGTTGGGAGACCATCAGTGAGTATGGTACTAGAAGACCACAGAGTTGGCGTGAGCCAGTTCAGGCCAATGAAGGGGGGCGCCCAGAGAAAAGGTGTCAGGCATCCTTGCAATCAGTGTGGAATTCCGTGCGCCTGTAGTGACATCTTTCTTGATGGCCGAGAGTGCTTTGCCTGCACCAGACATACTGGCATGCAATTATGTTTGAGATGCTGATGTCGAGTTGTTTTATATTCATTTATCCAGCTCTTCAGTAATTACTCATTGAATGCTTATTATGTTCCAGATATCGGGCTTATTCATTAATCTAGGAGTCATCCCTGATTCCTTTCTCTTCACCCCAAAATGTGTACTGGGCCAGCTACTTCTTTGCACCCGTGTTCCTTCTGCCCTCCCCACTGTCTCCTGTTCATTCTTCTGAAACTGGTTTCCCACTTCATTCCTGATCCTATGCAATCCATTTTCCACAAAACGGAGTGAATTTTAGAGGAAATCAAATCTTATTGTTTAATCACCTTGGTTAAAACTATCCAGTATCTCATTCATTTGGGGAATATAAAAATAGTGAAAGGGAATAAAGGGGAAAGCAGAAAAAATGAGTGAGAAATATCAGAAAGGGAGACAGAACATGAGAGACTCCTAACTCTGGGAAACCAACTAGGGGTGAGGGAAGGGGAGGTGGGTGGGGGTTGGGGGTGACTGGGTTACGGGCACTGAAGGGGGCACTTGACGGGATGAGCACTGGGTGTTATTCTGTATGTTGGTAAATTGAACACCAATAAAAAATACACTTAAAAAAATAAAAAATAAAAATAAAACCATCCAGTAATGTTCTATTGCACTTAGGATCACAGGGAAATAGGAAATAAAATGGAACCTCCTGCCCCCACAGGGTATAAGCCTTCTTGCTGTTCATCCTCTGCCCACTTCTCTGGCCACATCCTGCTTCTCTCCTGCCAGGCACTGGGATCAGCATCCCCTGCCTGCTTTCCATTTCTGCAAAACCCCAATTCGTTTGAGCTGCTGAGACTTTGCACTTTCTGTTTCTGCCTTGTTCTTTCCAGATGTTCATTCTGCTAATTCTGTGTCATCGTCATTTGGGGATTAGCTCGAGAAGCCTCCCATGACTGTATTATTAAATGTTGCCTCCTGATTCATCTCTTTCCCATGGCTTTGTTTTAATTTCTTTGTCGCACTCATTTCATTCATTGGCTTATTTTATGGCTCCCCACTCTCACCCCTTCTAGAATATAAGTTCCAGGAAGTTAGTGATTTGTCAGTCTGCTGCATTGCCAGCGCCTAGGACAGTGCCTGGCACCCTGGAGACTCAATATTTGTTGAAGTAACGGGATGAACAAGTGGTTAGATGATTGTGTGAATAAATGTATCCACAGTGAATAAACAGAACCCTGCCTTCAAATAGTTACAGAATGCTTGTAAATGAGAGAATTAATGAACATTTCCAATCTAAGGAAACAAAAGCACTATATAGAGAGATATATAAAAGTACTATTTGAACATTGTTGAGGGAATAATTAAATCCCTTTCCTATGAATAAGTCCTACATCTTTGCTTGTATGATAAATTCCACAAGGACAAACTGCATCTTATATACTTCTATTTTATCCCCCACTGCAGTGGTTTCTAAATGCCAGTCCCTGGACAAACTGCAACAGAATTACCTGGGGAGCTTAAAAACCATCACAGACATCTGATTCTGATTCTGCAAGTATCACTAGAGCCCTAGGATGTATCTTTGTATGAAAGTCCTCTGGGTAGTTCTGAAGCACACTACCTTGGGAACCACCATGCCACACTGCCTAATACCAACTGGATGCCTGCCTGAGCTGAAATAAACCCATAAAACTGGCCCCATTCTTTTTCTGACCAGCCCCAGCTAGCCCAAGTAGATTACCAAACATGCCTAAGATTCCTGTGACCAGGGGGGACACTGACTATAAGATGGTAGGAGCAATCGTTCCTTTTTCCTAGCACGATGGCTTCAGTGTGGCTTGTCTATCTTCACAGGGATGGTTTTACCAGCCTTACAAGTCATTTTATCTTTTTAACTGCATAGCACACAGGCATCTCCTATTAGTCCCACCCCTTGTGAATATTACTACAGCCTGGAGAAGTTGGCTCCCTGGGCTGCACAGATGCCTTTCTTTTCCTTGGGCCTTGGGCTAAAGGACATGTGGGAGTGTGTGTGTGTGTGTGTGTGTGTGTGTGTGTGTGTGTGTGTGTCTGTGCACATGTCTGTGACTCAGACTACAAAGGAGGATTGATTGACTTCCATAGGTTCTGGTGTTTATTTGCTGGGGGTCCAGGTTTATCAGGCAAGGTAAGAAGTGAGCTCCCTCCAGCACTGGGAAGCCCTTGGGCAGCCTTCACCCATCATGATCACTTGACTTCTCCTTGAAAGATCCACTCTGAGAATGGCTGGGAAGTTAGGACAGACCAGCAGATTTCCTGAATGCTGGAGATTCCAGAATTTTTATGGAAGAGGGACTTAGAGGTGACAATATTTTGAAGAGAGTGCTAGAGTCCTTCCCTAGAAACCATGTTTTATAGCAGCACATTATTTGTACTTGGCTTGTATGCTGGTTAGGGGTAGCCTAGGGGTCTGATAAAAATTATAGGGAGCAAACACCAGAGTTTCACCTACCACTCCGTGCCATCTGCCCATGCCACCTGCCTAGATCTCTCGCTAATGTCACCTCTGCTCTTATGGCTTAATATTATAAACCAAGTTTCTCCAAATTTCATCTTTTTTACCTCCTTTCTTCCTTTCACCTTTTCTTTACTCTCTCTTATACTGGCTAAGATCATCACAAAAACAATGTATTTTCATCTAGGTTTGCTTTTGAGTACTCTGGCTACAGAGGCAGACTCTCTGTGTATCATAAAATTTGTATCAACTACCTGGAACATGGGCAGGAATGGGGAAGGAAGGGAAGGTTTCCAGAACAGGCAGTATCACCCCAGTGACCATGGACTAAGCCTATGTCTTTATCAATCCTACACACAGAGGGATACTTATTTCCTTTTGCCTTTCCAGTCCATTATACAGTAAAAACAGCCAATTAGAAGGGAGCAGAGGTTTCTGGGACCAGGTTTAATGACAGTGGGAAGAAAAAGATAGACAGATGGATGGATTGACTGACTCTTAGTGAAGGACACACTGAGGTTGGCATTTAGGGTAGGCTGCATTTTGCCAGGGGCTTACATGCCAAATGAAGGGTAGTATGAGGGCCTAGGAACCCAAACAGCAAGATTCACAGTTGAGTTCTACCAATAACTCACTGGGCAGCCTTGGACAAGTCTGTGAAACCTCTTTGGGACCTCAGTTTTCTCACCTGTAAAATAGCAATAATAATGACCTCAAATATCCCTGGACTCCTATCAAATGAGGGAATAGGGGGTCAAGGTGCTATTTTCTCATTTTTACTTACTTGGCCTATTATTTGCTTGCTTGATACAAAAATAATAAACTTGTTTATTATGAAAACAACTTTCTTCTTGTAAAGAGAAAAAAAATGGGATGATTCAGAAGTATGCAAAGTCAAAAGAGAAACTACTCTACTTCCTCATATATCCCTTGTCTTTGGGCCGCTCCCATCTTATTCCTCACTGCTACTAGAGTGGAATATATCCCTTCAGATCTACGAGTGCTTTGTAAAACCTAAGAGAATTCATAGTACGGAGCAAAAACCAAAGGGCAGAACCCTTATACCTCAAATGGTTGAAGGGCCTCCCTGTACAAAAACTCAGAAAAAGGATTTCTTTTTCAAATGTAAAAGCAGACAAATAAATAAAAAACTTATGGAAAAGTCTAAATGGTGTGCAGTAGATTCTGCTTAAAAAGTCTGGGAAACATATAGTCCTTTTTATAAAGATTTCCATAAAATTTTTTTCTTTTTTTTCCTCCCCCCCCCATAAACATTGTAAAAATATACAGAAGTTCTAGCATTGGAAAACAGACTTTCCATCCTGAGGATAATTCATTAGACAGAAAAGCTCATTCTCCACCTATGCTATCACTGCGTTTCACAGTTACCACTAAGTTTACAACATGTATAACTAGTTGAGAAGCTAATTCCTCTCAGATATGTAGAATTGATGCCAAAAGCAACTGGTGAATTTGTTCTTACCAGTTACCTTCATCAGCACCAATTTGTCTTGATCTTTTGATTTGGGTCTGTTTCTGTTTCTTTTCTTTTAAAAAAAATATGGACTGCTTCACAAATTTTCATGTAATCTGTACACAGGGGTCATGCTAATCTCTGTATCGTTCCAATTTTAGTTTATGTGCTGTTGAAATGAGCACTCTCTTTCTTTACTTTGGTGCCTTCTCCAGATTTTCATCAACTTGAGGATTAGCTAAATGAGCTCAACAAATCTGCCTTCTCTGCATTTTTGGTTCTGCCTTTTCTGATTGGATTTTTTTCTTCAGTTCACTGTGTCTAGTTTTGACCATTTTTTCCCCCCGTTTTGGTCCATTTTAAAGCCTTCAAGCAAGGAACATTCTCCTGTCTCCATGTGGAGGGCTCAGAAGTGGGGAAGGGGCATGTCCTTCCCATTTTGGAAAGGGAACATTGCATGGTGTAAATTCTCCCAGATTCAGAGTCAGAAATTTTGGATCTGAGATCTTTAGTATGGTCTTCGGTTTTTCTCCTTTGGGTGTCAGGTTTCTCCTCTGTAGAAAGATCCTTCCAGCTTAGATGTTTTTAGACTTTGGGATTCTGTGCTTAGTCATGATTTGCCTGTTAATATTTGCCTACAATGGGTTTCAGTGTTCCATTCTTGCCTCTGTGGCTGGGTCCTTTGGTCTTCTGGAAATCTAGATGCAGCCCAGAGTGTGGGCCCCCCAAACAGAGGGGCCAGTTACTCCTCAGGGTGCTCAGGCATCCAATTTGCCTACAGTCTCAGGGTGGAAAAATACAGAAGCATTGGCATTCTGGTGGACCCAAGGGTCGAAAGCCTTGACCATTTCTCATCCAGAAGACAGACTTAACCTCAATTTAGGGCTTAAGAAACCACAAAATTACAAATGTTGACCTAAAATATTTCTAGAGAGCTTTTAAAATTACTGTTTTTTAAAAAAAATTATAAAAATAACACACAAGTTGGTAAAAATAAAGTTGAACGATACTTAATGGTATATAATGAAAACTAAAAATGCCCTTTATCCCCACCCTCAGTGCCATTCTGGAAGGGATCCTTTGTGGTGTCTTATCTATGTGCTGAGAAATTTGCTATGCATAATTATACATTCACATTTACCTTTGTACCAAGTCACCTCCACCAGCACTCAAGCACACACACATCAATGGGAACAGTTTATAAAGTTTCCATCTCGCCTTTTGCATTTAATAAAACAAGTTGGAAATTTTCCATGTTAACACATGTGGATCTTCCCTGTTCTTCATAGGGCTGCCTAGCATTCCCTGAAGGAAAGGCAAACAGCAGTGGCCACCCAGCTTATTTCTATCTTGTTGCTGCTGCAAACGATGCTTCTCAGAGAGCCTTTAATTCAGTGTTTTCTAAAGTTTGATCCTTGGAACACAAGCCTTTAAAGATGTTTAGTGACAAAAAAAAAAAAAACGTTTAGAGAGCAGACACATATGGAAAGCACTGCATTTTATTTTATTTATTTACTGTTACTTTGAGGACTTCTTCAAAATTTAACTTAAATTCTAATTAGTTAACATAGAGTGCAATATTGGTTTCAGTGATTCATCACTTACGTTCAATACCCAGTATTAATCACACCAAGTGCCCTACTTAATACCCATCACTCATCACTTATTCCCCACCTATCTCCCTCCATTACCCCTCAGTTTGCTCTCTATCGTTAAGAACTCTTATAGTTTGTTTTCCTCTCCCCTCTTCCCATATGCTGATCTGTTTTGTTTCTTAAATTCCACATATGAATGAAATCATATGGTATTTGTCTTTCTGACTGATTTATCTTGCTTAGGATAATATGCTCTAGCTCCATCCACGGTTTTAGAGTGGTAAGATTTCATTCTTTTTGATGGCTGAGTAATATTCCATTATCTATCTATCTATCTATCTATCTATCTATCTATCTATCTATCTATCATCATCATCATCATCATCTATCACCTACCACCATTCATCAGTCATCTCTCCATAGTTTGACTATTATTCTTGATAATGCCACTATAAACATTGGGATTTATGTACCCCTTTAAATCTGTATTTTTGTATTCTAGTAGCACAATTGCTGGATCATAGGATAGTTATATTTTCAACTTTTTAAGGAAGCTCCATACTGTTTCCCACAGTGGCTGTACCCATTTGCATTCCCACCAACAGTGTAAGAGGGTTTTTCTTTCTCCACACCTCTCCAATATTTGTTATTTCTTGTGTTGTTAATTTTAGCCATTCTGATAAGTGTGAGGTGATATCTCATTGTGGGTTTAATTTGTATTTCCCTTATGATGAGTGATGGTGAGTATCTTTTCATGTGTCTATTGGCCGTCTGGATGTCCTATTTAGGAAAGTGTCTGTTCATATATTTTGCCCATTTCTTTTTTTTTTTTATTTTGCCCATTTCTTAACTGGATTATTTGTGGGTTTTTTGGGTGTTGAATCTGATAAGTTCTTTATAGATTTTGTATACTAACTCTTTATCCAATAAGGCATTTGCAAATATCTTCTCTCATTCCATATGCTGCCTTTTGGTTTTGCTGGTTATTTTGTTTCCTTCACTGTGCAGAAGCTTGGTGAGATCCTAAGAGTTAATTTTTGCTTTTGTTTTCCTTGCCTCCAGCGGCATGTCTAGTAAGAAGTTCCTACAGCCAAGGTCAAAGAGGTTGCTGCCTGTGTTTTCCTCTAGGGTTTTGATGATTTTCCTGTCTGACATTTAGGTTTTTCACTCATTTTGAATTAATGTTTTGTGTATGGTGTAAGAAAGTGGTCCAGTTTCATTCTTCTGTATATGGCTGTCCAGTTTTCCCAACACCATTTGCTAAAGAGAATGTCTTTTTTTCCATTGGATATTCTTTCTTGCTTTGCTGATGAATAGTTAACCATATAAGTTAACTATTGGTTAACTAATCCATTTCTGGGTTCTCTATATTGTTCCGTTGATCTATGTGCCTATTTTTGTGCAGTACCATATTATCTTGATGATTACAGCTTTGTAATATAGTTTGAAGTCGGGAATTATGATGCCTCTGGTTTTTCTTTTTCTTTTTCAGGATTGCTTTGGCAATTCAGGGTCTTTTGTTGTCCTATACAAATTTTAGGGTTGTTTATTCTAGCTTTGTGAGAAATGTTAGGATATTTTGATAGAGGTTGCATTAAATGTGTAAATTGCTTTGGGTAGCATAGACATTTTCACAATGTTTATTCTTCCAATCTGTGAACATGGAATGTTTTTCCATTTCTTTGTGTCCTCTTCAATTTCTTTCATAAGCGTTCTGTAGTTTTCAGAGTACAGGGTGTTTTGTTTTGCTTTGTTTTAAACCTCTTTGGTAAGGTTTATTCCTAAGTTTTTGGAGCACTTATAAATGAGATTGATTCCTTGAGTTCTCTTTCTGCTGTTTCATTATTTGTGTATACAAATGCAACAGATTTCTGTACATTCATTTTATATCCTGTGACTTTGCTGAATTCACGTATGAGTTCTGGCAATTTTTTGATAAAGTATTTTGGGTTTCCTACATAGAGTACTTTGTCATCTGCATATAGTGAAAGTTTGACTCATTCCTTGCTGATTTGGATACCTTTTATTTATTTATTTATTTATTTATTTATTTATTTATTTATTTATTTATTTTTGTTTTATTGTCTGATTGCTGAGGCTAAGACTTCTGGTGCTATGTTAAATAGTAATGGTGAGAGTGGAATCCCTATGTTGTTCCTGACTGCAGAGGAAAAGCTCTGTTTTTCCCCATTGAGGATGATATTAGCTGTGGATCTTTCATATATGATGTTTACGATGTTGAGGGATGTTCCCACTATCCCTACCTTGTTGAGGATTTTTATCAAGAATGAATGCTGTATTTTGTCAAATAGATGCTTTTTCTGCATCTATTGAGAGGACATGTGGTTTTTGTCCTTTCTTTTATTAATGTGACATATCACACTGACTGATTTGCAAATAACGAATACCTCTGCAGGCCAGGAATAAATCCCACTTGATTTTGGTAAATAATTATTTTAATGATTGTTGGATTCAATTTGCTAGTATCTTGTTGAGAATTTTTGCATCCATGTTCATCAGGGATATTGGCCTGTAGTTCTTTTGTGTGTGTGTGTGTGTGTGGAGTCTTTGTCTGATTTTGGAATCAAGAAAATGCTGGCCTCATAGAAGGAATATGGAAGTTTCCTTCCATCTCTCTCTCTCTCTCTCTCTCTCTCTCTCTCTCTTTCTCTCTTTTGGAAAAGTTTGATAAGGATAGATATTAATCCTTCTTTAAATGTCTTGTAGAAATGCCCTGAGAAGGCATCTGGCCCTGGACTTTTGTTTATTGGGAGATTTTTAATTGCTGATTCAATTTCTTTGCTGGTTATGAGTCTGTTCAATTTTTCTATTTCTTCCTGTTTCAGTTTTGATAGTTTTTATGTTCAGAGAATTTTCTCATTTCTTCCAGATTGACCAATTTTTTGGCATATAATATTTCCATAACATTCTCTTATGATTATTTGTTTTTCTGTGGTTGTTGGTTGTGAGCTCTCCTCTTTCATTCATGATTTTATGTATTTGAAGCCATTCTCTTTTTGATAAATCTGGCTAGGGGTTTATCAATTTTATTAATTCTTTCAAAGAATCAGCTCTTACTTTCATTGATCTGTTCTTCCATTTTATTGTTTCTATTATCATTTATTTCTGCTCTAATCTTAATTACTTCCCTTCTTCTGCTGACTCTAGGCTTTATTTGTTGTTCCTTTTATAGCTCCTTTAGGTGTAAGGTTAGATTATGTTTTTGAGACTTTTCTTGCTTCTTAAGATAGGCCTGCATTGCAATATACTTCTCTCTTAGGATTGCCTTTGTGCATCCCAAAGGTTTTGGACTTTCGTGTTTTCTTTTTCATTTGCTTCTTTGTACTTTTTAATTTCTTCTTTAATTCCTTTGTTAACCCATCCATTTTTTTATAAGATGTTCTTTAACCTCCATGTACTTGTGGTCTTTCCAAATATTTTCTTGTGGTTGACTTCAAGTTTCATAGCATTGTGATCAGAAAATATGCATGGTATGATCTTGATCTTTTTGTACTTTTGAGGGCTGATTTGCGACCCAGTATGTGGTCACATTCTGGAGAATGTGATATGTACACTTGAAAATAATATGT